AGACATCCAGAAGAGGCATAGCATGTGGAACTAGAACAATCTACCTCGGTGGACAAAATAAAGGGTTCAGTTTAAATTCTAATCAACCGAAGAAGGCTGGAGTCTACAACATCCAAAACAATGTGAATATGGCAATAAAAGACAACAACAACAGTTCAAACAATGTAAATAATTACAGCACCTCATCTCAGAAATATAGACAGATACCATAACTATAGCTTAAAACTATATATATTATTAAAAAAAATAATCATATTTTGTAGTGGTCTATTTACTAATTTCACAAGATTCTTTTTACTAAAATTTATAAAATTGCTCTACTTAAAACTATAACAGAACTTCCATTGTGAATTCACAACACTTAATATAAATTATGCAAAAATGTAACAAAAACTGTTTTTCATTAATATTTATCCAAGATATTGTTAATCAGCCTATACATATCATTTCTAACAGTCTCATTTCTACATTATTTTTAATATTAAGTTTAATCTTGGTCCATATAAAACAACTGTAAAAAAAAAAAAAAAAAAAGTGTTCAAATTAAAACTGATGTAATGGAATAACCTGTCAACCCCATGAGTGACTACACTATATGTAGTAACTACCTATAAGTATCTGTAAGTCAATGGACTACAGAGCCAAGCTGGAATCTGTTCCAGCTAAACAGTCGAACTCTCTGCCTTTGGGCAGAGAGGAACCTGGACAAGGCTCCGCCGAAGGTCAGAGTCTCGTTTGGGGAGGTAGATTGACCCTGAACCTGTTTATGCGGGTTCAAAAAGGGAATATTCTTGGCCGAGTCTACGGGCTCGGAGAACCCAGTTAAACCAGCCTTGTGCCACATGCAACCCTCGTGGGGTGGGGTAGCTAAATAGACTAGCTGGGATCTGTTGAGTACGACTCAGATTTATGCGAGAACTACCAATCTTCCAATAGTAGCACTCACTACTGGATAGACTTGCGACGACCTTGTGTATAACGGTTACCTTTGTTCTTATTGTACTGTTTTTTTTTACAATAAACCTTTACTTATTTTATTCACCGTGTTTTTCAAGTATATATATTCCTATTAGCACGGAATATAACAAAAACCAAAAAGGTTATAAGCATAAGTTTTATCTATGCACTGAGCCAAAGAATGACCAAACTCCAAGATTTGGGAAATTCTATTTAAGAAATTACAGCCACTAGGTGGCAGCACTGCTGCAGCAGGGAAAACCAATATGGCGACACCTGCAGAGAAAATGTTGCATAGTTTAGATGAGGAAAAAGTACAAAAGAATAAAATGGAAGTAAAAAAAAAATGGTTAAGAGATTTGGTGGGGGGGCAAAGATGATGTGAATAAACAAGAACAGGGATGAATTGGGGACTAAAAAAGCTAAGTGCAGATATATTAAACATTTTTGGTGTAAGTATATGAGTAGATATTGTAGATAGTCCCATGAGAAATAGACACTTAAATCAAGATATATACATACATAGCTGTGTTTTGTTTTGTTTTTTATTCTTAGGTGAGATAGAACTGGGATTAATCTTGCACAAATCAAGGTTGTTCCTACCTGACAAAGGATTTGTCATAATGATTTGAGGCAAGGTTTTTAGAAGGCCCAAATGCTCTTCCTAACTCAAACACTCACAGTAATACAAATAAATATTGTTTTAGTGCTTTTATTGAAATATCATTTCTAGGAATGTTACCTATTCAAAGCCTGAAACCCCATCCCACTCACATACACACATATATTGGGGGGAGGCTCCTTTAAGAAGCTCATACGCCCTTTGACATAATCTCTATACAAAAATAAAAAGGTCCAATTCCTTTACATTAAATCTAAAAGACATAAATTTAATCAACATTTAAAAAAAAATAATTTGGTGTAGTGTAAAGTGAAAATCTAAGATATATAAATATATATATTAATTGAAGGGCGATGACAAGAACTGTGACATCTATCAAATAGATATAGCTACAGCAGAGATTTTTTTTTTTTCCTTTTTGACAGTATCGGGATTAATCTTCTAACAAAGCAAGGTGGGTCCTGCCTGTCAATCTGAGGTGTGTGTGTGTGTGTGTGTGTGTATATATATATATATATATATATATATATATATAAGGCTCAAACACGAATATTTCATCGTTATAATTTATTACATTGGAATTGTAATCACAATCCAATTCATCAGATGTACAGATTCAAAAAGAAATTGGAAAATTGCAATGTAATAAATTATAACCATAGAATAAATGTTAGTGTTATGTATTTATTCTTGCTCTGTCCTGGACATTGAGCTTTACCTGGATTTTATCCTCTTGGAGATTATATATATATATATATATATATATATATATATATATATATATTGAGCATTGGAATTAATAAAATAGTGCTCAATACAATATAACAGAGCTATTAATAAATATACATATTTTTTACCAGTGCATGAAACTCCAAAGGTGATTATATATATATATATATATATATATATATATATATATATATATATCACACACATAAACTGAAGGTGATAACAAAAAGAGATTAAATTTTAATTTCAATAAACTGTGACATCTATCCAACATGTATAACCAGGTTTCTTTTGTTGTTGTTTTTTTTTTTTTTTTTTTAATCAGAACCAGGTTTAATCTTGGAACAAAGCAAGATGAGTCCTTCCTATCAATCAGGTATCTCACTTGTGTGTGTGTGTGTATATATAAAACTGAAGCTGATAACAAGAAAGGATAACATTTTAATACCAAGAATTGTGACATCCATTGCAAGATGGATTGATGTATCTGTGTCTGAAGAAATTCTGTTTCAGTGGTTGGCATGGTGGTTGGTTTCTCAACCAGTTCTTCCACTAGCTTTTCTGCCAGTGAGGAAATTGGTCCACAGGACAAAAAACAAGACCTGTTAAAGAGCAGATGAGCTTCTTTATAGGAGCCAATGGTCATCATATATATAAACCTAGGATGGGGTCTGAAGAGATGCTGCCATGGTAGGCAATGCTGTAGTGTCCTCATTAGGAGGTAAGGGTTGGGAAGAATTTTAGAACAGATTGACAGTTGTCCATGCAGCATGCTTCTCTTTCCATGCCACCAATGTTGCCCAAGAAAAGGACAGGGGCCAATACGGCTTGACACAAGTATAATTGCAGGAATTGTCCAAAATTAAGTTGTGTTCAAAGTCAAACTGACATTGGAACTTCATCTCCATATTTCATCATCAGGGTCTACTGTCAAAGCTTTTCTCATAGTATGAAACAGGGCAATAGAAGTTTGAGTTTCTTTTCAATTGAATATTCTCCTAGGCTTATGAATTCCATGTATCCTATGAAAGTATACCATTGGGTTTAAAGGCTGATGACAGTGTGTAATGTTATTTACATTGTTCTGTCAAAGCATTGATTGTTGAATAACTTTTGTTTGTGAAAATGTTACACTCATTCCATCCCAATAAAATACGGAGTCAAAGCATGGAGGTCATAGGTCAATTAATTATTCTGCCAAGTTGTATATCATCATAAGCACCAATGATTCAATCTTATTTTCTATAAATATTTTCATGCAGTACTAGATTGGCAGTTAGGTTTCATTATTTTATATTTTAAATGGCTAAATGTAACTGCCAGTTCTATGCTAACAGTTTCTTCTTTTACACTTCTTGCTTGTAGCTATCTCTTCCAGCTTGTTTCCAGTCAAGATTGATTTTCAAAAATTTAAATGCAATGTCAATCATTATCTTGTCTTTTTAATTCTTGTTCTTTTATTGGCCTCTCTCCTTAATAATGTTTTTTTTTTTTTCTAATATTGCTGCATATTCAGTAACACCTTGCATTTTAGTGGCTTTATTGCCATGCTTGGGGTAAAATGATAAAAAAAACAACTTCATCTCTCAATGGCAAATCCTCAATTTTCATACATCAAAGAAACACTGCGGCAAAAGGAAGAATAACAAATTACTGCGACCCCATGTCACTAAATTATTTTTTTTTTAGGGGTGGGTGGTAATTCAGTATGAACAACTCATGAATCCAGGCTGCTAAATCTCTTGTTTAACCAAATCTCAGGCCAAATTAAAAAAAATAAAAAAATCCCCAATCAAATATAATCTGAAAAATCTTATTTCAGAAACTCAGTGAAGTGGTTTCTTGTCATATTTGCCAGTTTTGAATTCAAAGTTTTCTGCTGATAGGCTGTGAATCCCAGTCTTCCCTGCTATTTAACCTATAGATCTAAAGAGAAAAGAGATGGTTTCATTTCTCTCGCAAGGGCATGGAATCTAAAATAAATGCAATGCTGCTTCAGTTGCAATTTGAAGTTAGTTCACCAATTTTTCTGCTTCTAATCATTTCTGTACATCTATTACATTTAGTTTAAAATAACTGAGATGAAATCAATGAGACTAGTGTAAGAAATCAAATTATTTTTAATGCTTCATTAAAAATGCAGAACTTGCTTTAAAAGCAAAAACCGATAGAGTTTCTCTAAATATATATATATATATCTTAATTCATGTGCACTGTGATATTTTATCTTAAGTTGAAAAGATAATTCCAATATGCTATTGATCAGTTGATCAGAATAAATTCAATCAATCACATATTGAAATGCACTCCCAACATCTTAGTAAAAAAATAATGCATAAATTTAATTCAGAAAAAAAAGAAATTGATATCTTTTCATCATTTATATATGTTAAAAATTAAAGCCACATCTAAAAATGTATTTTTATGTCTTAAATTATTTTTTCATGCAAAACTTATTTCTTTTCTTGCAAAGCAACTAAAGGTCTTCCAATCTAAGATTCTCTTGAATGTATTTGGATATGCGTATGCACACATGTAAAAATGCACCTCCCTAAATGTCATCATATTTAAATTCGTCATTTGCCAGTTGCAAATTCCTCATTAAAACAAATCAAGTGAAAAATTAGTATTAAATGCTTTTTGGAATTTGAGAGAAAAATCAAAAGAAAACAAAAAACTTTTTTTTTTTTTGTCATGCAAAAGTAAAATGTAGAAATGTTTTGAAGAAAGAAGTCAAAGAAAGAGTCATAGACAAAAAGAGAGAGAGAGAGAAAACAAATGAAAGGAAAGTGAAAGGAAAGAGAGAGGACAAGTGAAAGGAAAGAGAGAAAACAAATGAAAGGAAAGTGAAAGGAAAGAGAGAGAGGACAAGTGAAAGGAAAGAGAGAGAGGACAAGTGAAAGGAAAGAGAGAGAGGACAAGTGAAAGGAAAGAGAGAGAGGACAAGTGAAAGGAAAGAGAGAGAGGACAAGTGAAAGGAAAGAGAGAGGACAAATGAAAGGAAAGAGAGAGGACAAGAAAGGAAAGGAAGAGGACAAGAGAAAGGACAAATGAAAGGACAAAGAAAGAAAGAGAGAGGACAAATGAAAGGAAGACAGAGAGGAGAGGACAAATGAGGAAAAGAGGACAAAAGAAAGAGAGGACAAATGAGAGGAAAGAGAGAGGACAAATGAGAGGAAAGAGAGAGAAAGAGGACAAATGAGAGGAGAGAGAGAGAAAGAGGACAAATGAGAGGAGAGAGAGAGAAAGAGGACAAATGAGAGGAAAGAGAGAGAAAGAGGACAAATGAGAGGAAAGTGAGAGAAAGAGGACAAATGAGAGGAGAGAGAGAGAAAGAGGACAAATGAAAAGGGAGAGAGAGAGTATTGATGGGAGTTTCCTTCCTAACCTTTTGTTCAAAATAGTGGGGAACGTCAACTTCTTGCTTATATCATTATTTTCCCTCCCTGCTACATTTTGCTGCTGATGTTGAATATCCTCAAATGATATCATTTCTGTTATAAGGACTCAATTATATTCCAGTTATTAGACATAAAATGCCTGGAACCATTTAAAGATAACAGCTTTTATTTTCACTGTTGGATACTGAGTTTAATGTATGCATAAACGCATACCTGAGTGCTGAGATGTGAATATATGCATACAAAATAAGGCTTTGCAATGATTTCAATATAAATGAATTCATGGGTTTATATATATATATATATATATATATATATATCTATCTATATACATATATATGTGTGTGTTTGTGTGTGTGTAAATTATTTTCAGCTAGAGTGAATCTGTAAACAAACTAAATAAATAAAAAGGCAAGAGAAAAAGCTAGTCTTAGCCAATGCATTTCATCCTGTGAGGAACTTTATCAAGGAAAATGTAAGGATTTATTTTGTTGTACATGTTTATATACAAGACCAAGGATGTCATTGGTTTATCAAGGATTTTAAATTTGAGAACATTTATGAATATTCATCAGGTGGTTGAAAGGTCAGTCAAAACATGTGGAGGACACAAAATGCCATAATTCAAACAACTGATCCAAATTATATATATGTATATGCATATTTGGACAGCAAACTTTCTCTTAAACATCTTGAGTTAAATATAACAAAGAAAATTTTTCACTATTTACATTATTTGGACTATTGTCCTCATCTTTGTTGCCATATTTATTACAACGTTTCGGCCGTTGTACACTCCAGTCTTCTTCAGGTGGTTGGAATGTCAAACTGAACCCTTTAATTTGCTCACTGGGGTAGACTGTTCTAGTTCCACGTGCCATGTTTAATGGATGTCAGTTATCAGTTATCTCCTGTTAATTTTCCTCTGCAAGTTCTCCACTGCCTTAACCGGGTATTGAACTCACACTCCTTGGGTCCTGTCACTGGATCTAACCAACACCTTTATCCACTGTGCCATGTGTATGAATTTCTGGGTATTATAAACAATGTCTTCAGCAATCAATTTTTTTATCAGTGCTCTTACTGCAATTTTCACTGTTATCATTGCATGTTTTAACCACATGGCACAGTGGATAACGGTGTTAGTTAGATTCAGTGACAGGATCCAAAGAGTGTGACTTCAATAAAGGTAAAGGTAAAGGTAAAGGCAGTGGAGAACTTAGAGAGGGGAATTAACAGGAGATAACTGATAACTGACATCCATTAGACATGGCACGTGGAACTAGAACAGTGTACCCCAGTGAGCAAAATAAAGGGTTCAGTTTGACATTCCAACCACCTGAAGAAGGCTGGAGTGTACAATGGCTGAAACGTTGTAATAAATATGGCAACAAAGATGAGGACAATAGTCCAAATAATGTACATAATACCTCATCTCAGAAATATAGACAGATACTGAAAGAAAAATTTGTATTTAGTTTCTCTAATAGTTTCTTCTTACATTTTTCCGTGGGGTGGGAATGATGGAGTATTAAAACTGTCCAGACCACCCATTCACCCAAGCACTTTCAGCCACTCCCTTCGTCATTTTCAAGGAGGGGTGTTTTGGTTTCTCTTCATGTTTTGAGTATTTGAGATGTATTTTTTGTGTTGTTTTGAATATTAGTGGGAACATTTATTGTGAGCCTTCACAGGTTCCCTTGTCCATAATATATATATATATATATATATATAAATAAAAGGTACATATGCTCTATGGTATTGAGCATTTTAACTCATAAATATAGTATACTTCAAAACCACGTGGCATGTGGCGAGAGTCTCTCTGCTCTATCACTACACCATGGTCATTGCTCAGATGAACTGCCTTTCATGGTCCCACCAGATTTGACCTTCACGGTTAGAGCGCACCATGCCACTTACATAGTAGCAAACTGGAAAAGTAAGTTCTACTCAAACAGCTTTTTCCCTATGAAACACTGCTCTATAGAAGAAATTCCAAAGAAGAGGTTTCCACGATCCCTACACTCTTAACCTGTTCAAATCTAGAGTCAGCTGTTATCTTCCCCTCCAATCTATACACCTTAATGTAACTCTGTACCTCGAGTAGCCCCTGGGCATTATAAGGTTGAACTTTACTGTATATGCAAAAAAAAAAAAAAATTAAATATATTTGTATCAGTTGTTTTTTTTTAAGTCAGTTGTAGAATTCAGACCTTGGCCAAGGTGTATCAGCGACTACTGAAAAACCTGATAGCCGTCAGAGGTTCTGTAACCAACATTAAAAACTCTCTGATGTCTTTAGTTCCAGAATCAAGCCATGATATAGTCAGGAAGACATATCACTGCCTGTGCATTGTGACTGAATTAGCTATTTGATACTCTCATGTCAGTGGCCAATATTTGAGACAAAGTAAAAGGCCAAGCAAACTTGTCATATTTAGAAATTTGGTACAACATCATTCACCTTATTTGATATAGTCTCTTTCATTCTCATATATGTTATTTTTAATCATTTCACTTCTAGCAAGGCAATAAAGCCACTAAGATACAAGGTGACTGAGTGTGAAAAAATATGAAAAAATATTATTAAGCAGACAGGATAAAAGAATAGGAATTAAAGAATCAGAAGATGATTGATCTTGCATATAAATTTTTTGGAGATCAATGTTGACTGGAAAGCAAGAATCCAGAAAAGAGCTCCACAAGCAAGAAGTGCGAGAGAAGAGACGGTTAGTATAAAACTTATTGTGAAATCTTGCAATTTCAACAGTGAAGGTATGAAACCTAGCTGCTAATATAATAATTTGTAGAGTCGAGGTACCAAGCAGGAAAGCTTAGCAGAACAAATACCATGAAAATAGTGATAGAAAAGGTATAGAGAAGTCGGCCAGTGAAAGAAATTCAAGAGATAAAACCTCCTGAAGAGTGGGCTAAACCATTAGAAAAAAGTTAATATATGAAATTCTTTAATCAAGGTGCTGAATACAACATCAATCACCTAAGTGACAAAATTTATTTATGTTCATCTTTGTGTGTGTGTGTGTGTATATATATATATATATATATATATATATATATATATATATATATATATATATATATAAATTCCCAAGAGGACAGAATCCAGGTAGAACTCAATGTCCAGGACTTAGTAAGAATAAAGAATATAAAAAGGCTCAATCTGATTTCTTTTTTTGAATCTGTAGGTCTGATGAATTGGACTTGATTCTGATTCCAATGTAATAAATTATAACCATGGAATATATTAGTGTTTGAGACTTTTATATCATATATATATATATATATATATATATATATATATATATTGATTTAAAAAAATGAATTTCTTTTGTATGACCATTTTTTTTTTTGCAGGATCTAGGTACCTTTCGGCCAACGCTTCATCAGGGTCTTTCATTTTCATTTTCTTTAAATCACTATATTTGTTTTGTGGTATCAAAACATTATTCAATATATATATATATATATATATATATATATATATATATATATATACTAGTGGTAAATATACACATACATATGCAATCATATATCTAAAATAGAAATATAGTTCCTTGCTAGATTAGATAATCATTATGTTAGTTTTTTTATATGTTTATATTTGATTTGTAACCTGTAATCGATATTACTTTTGTCAAATTTTTTGATTGATTATTGCCCTTTTATAAATGCCCTTTGGTTTTAGTTCCCCGCACCATCTCTCTCTCCCCACCCCCTTTTTCTTTTCTTTTCCTCTCCTCTTCTGATCTTTTAAGATTAAATCATTATATTGTGTGTATGTCACCACAAAATGTATCTTTTTCGGTATATCTTTAACGCATTTTAGACATCCGAGAATATTTATATTTCTCTCACTTAAACCATCTTTGACTCCCTCTTTAAAACTTCTCTCTGTTAAATTTTAATCCCCCTTCATCTTTTAGACCTTCTTGTTCTTCTCTCATCTCCCCCTCCCTATAGCTTTCATTTACTCTAACATTCGTCCCACACTCTCATACATACACTCTCACTAAATTTTATTTTTTATTCATGGAGTTGATTTTTTTTTTTTGAATTTGTAGGTCTGATGAATCAAGCACTATTTTATTAACACCAGAATTCAATGTGCAATAAATAAATATATATATATATATATATATATATATATATTAGTATTTGAGCCTTTTATATTATATATATATGGTGGCCTGATGATTGCATCTAGCATGAAAGAGCCTGTTGCCTCTAAGTGTTAACTTCAATGTTCACATTTTATATATATATAAAAAGGTGCATGTGTGTGTCTGTGCACAAAAGTTCCCATAAACGTTCTGAAAATTATAGTTTACATACACTAAGAAACATTTACTTAATATAAAAATGAAAAAAAAAAAAACACGCTTAAAATTGTGCACATGCCTAATATCTGCACATATGCATGCATCTGCAGATATGCATGCATCTGCAGATATGCATTAGGCAACCATTATATGCAAGTTCTTCTTTCAAAATTAACGATATGTTCAGTTTAGGTTGAAAGTCCTTTTTAAAATGGTGAGAAATAAAAATTATGGAAATATTTTATAGACATTTTATTCACATTGTTTCCATGAAATTGCAAATATTTTCCTTAAATGTGATTGCTTGAAGCATGCTAAACATTCCAGGCATAAATTTGACAGGTCTTGAAGCAAAATTTTTAAAAAAATACAAAAACTTCAATATACTTAAATGTAATGCTAAGTGTTCCTGTAGCTTTAATGTCTTTGATGTAAAATTATAACAGCCATTTTTATTTATTTCTGGTGTGTGTGTGTGTGTATATATGAGAGAGAGAGGAAAAAAAAAAAAGAAAGAAAGAGAAAGAAACTGATTCCACCAATAAAACCATTAACAGGCTGAAGAAATTTCTTCTGAGGACAAAATGTGTTACTTAGGAGATTTTAACCATTTTCTCATTCAATTACCCATATATAAATTTGTA